AGGGGAAAAAAAAAAAAAAAAAAAAAAAGAAAAAAAGAAAAAAAGACGGACGGACACACAGAGGGGCGGGGGTCACTCTATAGGATGACTCTACTTGTTTCCTGTCTTCACTGCCTCCACGTGAGCGCTATCATTGAGCATTCTCCTGATGGTGTCGTTCATGATGTTAATTCCTTGTTTGCTCTTGTCGCGCACCGTGTTTAATATGGCCTGAGGGGGGGGCAAAGAAAAAGTGGGGCGCGCACGCATTCATACATGGGACGCACGCATTCATACATGGGGCCGCTCCGCGTCTGTACCGCTCTGCCGCTGCACGGCCCTACCCGCTCCAGGAAACTCTTCATGTAACCAAATCCGTTAATGTCCAGCGTGGTGGTCTGCTTGTACAGCGTTTTATTATCTGAACGGTAAATTGAAGGGGGGGTCAAGTGGGAAGCAGCGAAAAGTGGGTGAAGCGAAATGCTCATGAAGAGAAAAGTGGCAGAAACGCTTCGCTCAAACGCTTCGCAACGGCTCCGCTCAGCCACTCCGCTGAACCTACCATCGTCGTGCTTCTGCACATACACACACTTCTCCGTGAGGTTCACAAAAGGAGTCAGCGTGTAATTGGCTGTTCTCACTGTTAATTTTTTTTCCCTCAGGTTAATATTTATGTCTTCTATTCCTACGCCTCCTCCGTCGATGTTGAGCACATTTTCTGTGGGGGGGGTGGGGCGGATGTATCGGTTAGGAGGGGGCAGTGTGCTCGCTCTCCCTCGCTGTCACTCTCTGCTTCTCTCCCGGGGCGAGCAGGTATGAAGAGGTATGAAGAAGGATGGAGCAACTCACGGAAGAGCTTCGGAATGCAGTACTGCAGCTGGACGATCCTCCTCATCCTGAGGGTCTGCTCCTTCGAGTCAATGCATCTGTCAACCACGTCAATTCTCTTTATGTGACTCTGCACGTTGTTCGGGTACTTCTGCAGGAAGGCCGACTGCGCACGGGAAGGGGAAAGAGGGAAACAGCAACCTGTTAATACACATTACCGCCCGATCAATGTTACATCGTGGCGCCGCCTCACTGTTGCACAGTCTCTGTGTTTATACATCATTTTGCTTTCCTGAGGGGGACAGCGCGGACAATGCAACCTCTTTAACGTAGCGCTCCCTTGCAGGCGCATCTTTTTTTTACCGTGACGGTTCCCCAGTCGTACTGATACACATGCTCCTGTTCAAACAGCTTCATCTCGTTGCAGAATGGAAGTGGTAGGGAGGAAGGAAGGAGAAAATGGGGCAGCCACTGCAGCGAACCCGTGCGAGGGAGGAGTGTGCCTACAAGGCACGCCACGAGAATTGAAGCAATAAAAGAAGAGGAGGTATAAAACAGAACAGCAGATCACACGTAGGGGGGCGGGATAAGTGTACAGTACATGGCCAGGGCCCCCTTTTTTTTTCTTCTCACTTCAACAAGTTACCACTTCAGAATTGTCACAATGAGAAGAGAAGGGGGGGAAAAAAAAACTTGCAAAGGGGCATACCACATTTACTGTCCCCTCATTGTGCATGTGCTCGTGCGTGTGCTCTCCTCGGTTACTCTCTCGTTGGTGAAATAAAGCGTTGGAACGAGCAGCGAGCGAGCCGCAGGACAATCTTCCACCCCGTGAAGAGAAGCGGTTTTGGCGATTTGAGGCGGCGAAAATGGTCACCCTCTTTTTTGCCTACAGCGACGTTGATTTTTTTTTTTTTTTTTTTTTTTTTTTTTTTTTTTCTCCTGCATTATTTTTTGTTCATATTTTTTTTGTGCATTTTTTTGTTCATATTTTTTTTGTGCATTTTTTTGTTCATTTTTTTGTTCATATTTTTTTTGTGCATTTTTTTGTTCATTTTTTTGTTTATTCTTTTGTGCGTTATTTCTTCTTCATTTTTTTTTTCCGCGGTGTCTGCCAACGGGCCGTGCTCACCATGACGTACACCCCCCCCTATACAAGGGCATACCGAGACTTTTGGCCCCCTCCGCATAACATAAAACCTTACACGTGCGCGAATTGAAAGGATTTTTTTTTATTTTCCCCCAGAGGGACGAATCCTCCCTCACTCACGTTGAAGGAAGTTTATACCCACTAGGTCGCGCGGCCGACTCACTCTGCCTTGTCGCACACTTTCATGCGCCGTTGTTCTCTCTTGCCCTTTTTTTTCTGTTAACCCATTTAAAAAAGGAGAAGTCTTTTTTTTTTTCCCCCGCAGGGTGATGTTGTAATACGCTATAAGGTGGGGGGAACTCCTTGGGAGCTATTCACCCTTGTCGTCACCCCGTCGTTGTCGTTTTTCCACTCCACCGGTGTAAAAGTATTTCCCCTTGGCGCGGTCCCCACAAGTGTTTAACGTTTACACCTCCTGACGTGGCCAGTGGTGCTTGGCATTTTTTTTTTTTTTTTTTTTTTTTCCCTTTACGCAATACACATACAGTCCTTATTGGGGACAGTGTTTAGTGGCGTGTTCGAATTTGGTAAAATGTAGCTGAGCTCCGTGTCCATGTAGCTTTTTTTTTTTTTTTTTTTTTCAAGCAGCTCAAAAAATTTGCAGCAGCGCCGTTTTGTTCATATAGGGTCTTCGCTGCCGCTTCGTCATACACCAGTCGTGTTGCGTCTGGGGGTGGAGTTCCACACCCCGTTGTGGTGACCCACTTGGCGTCCTACTCCACATCCTGAGTTTTTTTTTCCCCCGCGCACAACTACCTTCACAAGTGCTGGCGTAGGTGTCAGTTGAAGTGCAAGTCCATCCCAACTCATCGTGGCGCAAAAAAACGAAAAAAAACAAAAAAAAAAAATCACCATTTTTAAAAAAAAAAAAAACGC